CAACGTGACCCAAGAGGAGTTAAAAAAAAAAAAAAAGAAAAGAAAAAAGAAAACACAATCTGAGGACCAGCAGATAGTGTAACAGTTACATTGCTGGAGTCTCACATAGTCAACCATGGTTTGAGTTGTGGACCTGGTGACTAAAACTGATGCTGGGCAAGTGTGCATACGTGCCCAAGATCCCAAGAGGAGAATGAAGGAGAAGGGATTGCAGTGTGGCCATGCAACCTCGGAGTGGTTATTTCTTGCTTTTTGTCTCTCTGTCTCTCTCTGTTTTCCTGGCAAACACCATGCCCTATAACAAAACGCTCTCTCAAAAACAAAACACACAGCCTATGTTTTCTTCTCAAAATAACAAGATTAGGCAATTTTTTTGGTTTTCTTTTTCGCCCAAAGTCTATGGGTGATTGTTATTTCTACTTAGAGAGTTCTGCCACTAGAGACTTAGATTTCAAAGTATTTGGCCTGGCTCCATCGCCTGCTTGTTAATGTCAGATCCCACATGGCCTATCGTATAGCTCAAGTCCTGGACTAGAGATTGATAAACCACCAGAAATGTGTGTGTCCCTGAACATATATTGTCAATGAAGGACAAAGAAATGCAGTGTGACCATTCTCCATGAAAGTTGCTTTCTTTTTCTGTCTGACATGCACCCTCTGGTAAATTTTTAGAAATTAATTAAATTAGAAAAAGAATGTACAATGAAATACTTAAAAAGTTCAAGAAAAGATACTTGATATAACATAGATCAAAACTGGTCAAATTTGTGTATGTTTTTTATGAATGCATCCAACATCAGAGAATATTAACGTAATAACATAATAACTATTTTCATTTTATGTCTAGTGATACAGATGCTGTGGCCTAATCCCTTTATGCAATACTCATGGTGAGGACAAAAATTAGTTCTGCATACTATCCTAACATGACTCATGGAAAGAACATTCTTTTAGAATTAACTGTACTTATACTGTTTGCAAAAATCCTGGAGGAAAGAACAGTGATCCAATTTTAAAATATGAGACCACTTTTTTGAAACCTATAATTTCAGGGTTTTCTAGTTGGTTTATAAATAAGTTTATATTTTAAATAAACACTAAATTATGGAGCCAGCATCTGATATCATGGTTAAGGGTCTGGAATCCCACATGGTCAACTGTGGTTCAAGTTCTGGACTGGTGGTTTGCTTTCTTATGTTCCATCTATCTTGCTCTCTGTCTCTCTTCAGTCATTACATGTGCCCTATAGCAAACTAAAAATAATAATGTTTGATAAAATAAAATTAATAATTTAAAAAAATAAACACTAAATTTATAAATCTTATATAAAAATATCAAAATGGGACAAATACATTAGACAAATTTGTTAAACAAAAAAGTTAATACAATATAAATACATAAAAATAAACATCAGAAAATTTCATTTTTTATCTTATTTCCACTTGTATTAACAAGAACAACATTTGATTTGCACTTTGAACAAGTTTGACATTGAGCGTTCAAGAAGCAAATCCAAAAGTTAAGAAAAAAATATGTTTTATTAAAAATATCTTTAAGGGAACCAGCAGTTAGTGTAATGGTTATGTCGCTGGACTCCCACGTAGTCGACCGCAGTTCGTGTCCTGGACCCGGTGGCTTAAAACTCACGCCGGGCGTGTGTGCGTACGTGCCCAAGATCCCGAGAGGAGAATGGAGGAGAAGGGATTGCGGCGTGACC